ATTGATTAATTGATGTCTTGATAGCTAGAGGTCAGTGCCAAAGCCATTTTTGTCCTGTCTCTTCTTCTTCTTCTTTTTTTATAACCCTCTTAAGCTTTGGAATCCAATCCTACATTATAATAACAATTTAGTTATATGTTCAGTAGCATTAGAACTATAGTATAGTCATATAAGAAGACTTTTTGGATTAGATAATGCATTAGTACCTTGGAAGTAGAGTTTAAGAGGACATTGCCTGCTGCAATGTCTCTAACTCTTCTTCTTCTTTTCCTTCGTATGTAAATGTAAGTAAAAGAAAGAAGAAGACGACAACAGAGACAACACAAGCAAACAACACAATTCATGTCTCCCGGGCTCCTTTCATTATGTGCTAAGCCACCCCTGTTTCAGTGCCCAAGAAAGCTCCTGATCTTGAAGTTACAGTACATATGTCAGCCACAACACTCTGTTCTGTTTGTGTTTGTGGCGAGGCCTCCAAGTACGTGTAGCTGGTAAACTGATGATGAAGATGAATGGTTACCACCACATCTACGAAACATTGGTGAATACGACATATTTTTAGGATGATGCTGACTAGCTTTTTAGGATGATGTTGACTAATCGGTTTGATAGTAAGGTTTACCGATCGAACACCATCTTCATCATTTACCCATTCGAAAACAACAAAAATTAGCACCAGTAAATGCAGTCTTTGCGAAGGAAACTGCAGCGTGTTTCACATGATGTGGTACGTGTACTCGCTCGCCCACCATCCTTGAACATTGTAGCTAATGTTCATGAAGATTCCGAGAAGAGTAGGAAGTATGACTTCTCGAGTGCCATCTCTCACCGACAAGGCAATGGGTTGTAGATTTCCTTTGACCGCCGTTACCGAAGACTAATGCTGTGTGATCGTCACTTGGTCGTCAAAAAAGTGAAATGCTTGGGAATTGAGTGGAGAGGGGAGAAGACTTGATTCAAAAATGACCATCGTCCATCCTTGGATCGACATGATCGAACATAACCATGTTAATAGCATTCAATCGATGCATGCTCAGAAAACCATTGAAAATAATTTTATGATCATGGATGATGGATGCACCTACATATAAAATACCTCACACCAACATATGATCAAACAAAACAAACGCTGTCCAGAACCAAGGCTCATCATCTCAATGGGCACAGATCTCCCATCAATACAGGATCCGGAAGGAACAATGTCTGCGGCCTTATTTCAAGATTACCATGACATGAATCCAACATCCAAACTACAACTGAGCAATATTTACCATTACATCAGAGCTCACCCTTAACCCTGAAATGTCAAGAAACCCTTCCATGTGCAACATATACGTCAGTGTGTAAATCCGCTTGTAACCATTTGCAGAAAGTCATTTGGTATTTATGTATAAAAACTCAATTAACTATATAAGAAATCCTCGGGGACTATCTGCATTAAAGAGTTAGTGAACAGAAGCACTCCACTAATGAATGACAAGTGACTGGTTAAACTTGATTAAGGATACATACTTTTTAACGTAGCCAAGGATACTGGATGGAAGTTACTGCAGAAATTCCATCTTCTATAAAGCACCAATTCCAGTCTTCCATATCTTGCAAAATTATTTACATGTTGCTACAAAACAAACCAATGATGACCTATTTGATTGAGAGAGTCATGTACCATTATTATGGCTTTCTCTGGTGAAGCTCCGGGTGCGCATTCTAGATCCTTCAGGGATCGTGACCTTACGCCGCTTGTGTGGCTGCCGCACTAGTATTCGCCCTATCACTTGAACATCATCCTTGTCCAAAGGCTTCACATCGTCAGTAACGATGATATCTTCAAATGAAGAAGGCAAATTCACTTTGCAGTTGCCATCGCCACTACTGATGTCCACGCTGTGGGTTTCCTGATGGTTATCATCCTGTCTGGCTTCAGAACGAGTTTCCTGGCAATCCTCACCATCTCCACTCTCTTGGGTGCCAAGTTCGACGCACTCATCATGCCCATCCACTGTTCCCCTACCATCCATTACCATACAATCTGTAACATCACTGACCCCATAAGCGTGTGTGTCGATGTCCCCACCATCTATGATCTGACAATCTGTCTCCCTGGTGCAAATTCTCAGAGAACCTTCACAATCTGTGCCCTCTGCTTTAGATGCATCATTTTCTTGAGAATCTTTAACAAAACCATCCAGCTTTTCTCTAGGAGACGAAGTAGGGCTCTCTGGAACATAACCAAAATTCTCTGGTGAAGCCAACCTCATTTTTTCATCTTGCTCTCTTTGATCGATATTCATACTGTTGGAATTCATGCATTCAGATGCCAGATCTGTATCTGCATCCTTTTCATCTGCAGTGCTCCAGGGTGTTACATTGGCACTAGTTACATTCATAGAGTTCATACAAAACTGGGCATTAGGGCTTCCATCCTGTGGCTGACAATCTTCTTTCCCCAGGCGAGAGGAAGATAAATGTTCCCTTCCATCAACATGCTCCTAAATGACAAATACAATATGACAGTAAGATAAAAATAAAAAAGATGCAAAGCACTATATGTGCCAGCTCAAAAAATGAAATAACAAATTCCAAGGTACATTTAGGACCTCAGAAAAATCTGGTGAAAGTATTAAGTAGACAAAGAAGAAAACTATACCAATATTGGGCATGAAACAAATAACAGGTTTGATGAAGTTGCAGTATGCTGGTGAACATCAGCTCCATGCTTTGGTGAAGACATTGTATTTTCTCCTGGTTCAAGAAATTCTGGAATCATCAATCTTGTTTGTTCATCACATTTGGTACCAGAAGATGATGCCAGATGTCCAAATTCATTTCCAACTCCAGCATCAGGACATACTGCATCACCCACTAATCCTTTGGCTGGGCTGCAGTGTGCAGAAAGAAGTTCTACATGTTCTTGCTCAACGTTAATTTCAGGATACCCTGAGGATGAAGGATGCACTTTGCTGCATGTGCTAGTATTAATTTTCTGAGGAGGGTTGTTAAGTTCATATATCAGCTTCCAGATAAGAGAACGCTTTAGAGAAGCTTCAGCAGGTGGAAACCAATCAGCACTGAGCTGAAAATATCCGAGGCAGACAAGTGAGCTGGAGAGAGATACATTCTATTTATTTAAATCTTGTAAAACTAGCATAGAATCCTAATGCCATATGGCACTTCAGATGAAAATGAGACATTTCAATCAGGCAGGTTATTATCTTGGGGCATCATGTCAAAACAAAGAAATATTGGAAGCTCCGACTCTTACCACGATAAATCCACAAAAGCATAGAAAGTTTGAAACTCATTCAGTACAGACTTGTGTTCCTACAATATGTGCTAGAAAGTCCTCATTTGGCGAGATTGCAGGCCCTCGGCCAGACAAGATTAGGGTCAGATGAACTCATTTTAGAGTATGTTCAACAATTGAATTAATTTCTCAAATGTGTTTCATGTGAAAAGTCGAGACGGGCAAGAAATGCAAACCCTGACAACTATGGTAACTGTCAAGCCATTGATTGTCAGTGTCTTGTGAGTGGAACATCTGAAATTACTGGTTTTCAAACAAGAAAGGAGGCATATATTATGCTTTCTTGAAAAGTGACACATGGCCCATAAAACCATCCCAGGACAATACATCACTAAGCATCAACATTAACCAAACTAAGAATCTGTTAACAATTCCACGATCCCAATGCTTGTCTACATCTCATTCAATATGCTGTTTTCCAAATCACAATCAATCTTAGCGCTTCCCTTTTCTTGCACGTTTCTTCCTAAAACACATCCTATTGCCTCACCTTCTCCCATATCTTTCATTTGCATAATATCCCTCCCCTTAAAACCACTCTATTTCTGTCTACCATTTATGTCATCTGTTTTCTTCAGCCTTATTCTCTTTTTATCTTCCCTTCTTCGTAACTTAACCTCCACTTTGCCAGGTACTGTAATGTGGTGCTTTTTTCCCTCCCAAAAGAGATGCTTAACAGTACACGGTGGCAGGTCCTGAATGCAACAAAGATGAAATATCAAGACATCAATGATAATAATTGGTCTGAGGACCAACTTGAACTGGACCTCATAGTTTAGAAACTCACCATGTAACTTATTCAGAGAAAAATTTTATGATTTGTTCATTCGAAGTCCCATAAAATCAAGAAGTCAAGCATCCATATTTGTTATGGCAAGCATATTTTATATCTAAAATTCATATTTGAAGACTGGCAAGCATCCATCACACTTACTCAAAAGGATTCATGGTGGCATAGTTGCCAGAATACCAATGTTGTCAAAAGTTTTTCCATATACAGAGTAACTTGTACACTCAGTAATACAGACATTTTCTAAGATGACCAATGTATAAAAGCTTAACAATACAAGAGTATAAATATATATTTTAGAGTAATTACACTAATATGCAACTATATCTACAGGAATGCATCTTACAAACGGAAAAAATGTAGAAAAATCTTGAGAAGTTACAACAGCAACATATTTTGCATTGGCCTTGTCATTAGAATATATTAACAAAGCTTAAGGTATATATTATTTAGAAGAAGAACGAAAAGAACTCACAAAGCTGGAGAACTTGGTGACTTTGAATGGGTCAAAACTCACAGGAGCCTCTTCCAGAAACAACTCAACATAGTGGAGTAAAAAGAGACCACAATCAAATGAATTCTCCTGTTGTGGCAACTACAGCACCAAAAAAGAAAACATTAAAAAAATGAAAATTGATCTTCCAGAGAAAATTTAGAAAACAGTTAATACAAGCATGTAAATCAAGATCTATCATTCAATAGTTGTATCATAATGATTTACGACAATTAACACAGAATAATCAACTTAGATTTTATTGAATCATGTAGGTACTGCTTATGTGATCTTTCACTAATATGAGAGAGAGAGAGAGAGAGAGAGTTGTCTAAGATCAAAAAGTTCTCTTGAAGTTGTCTTATGTCATTAACTCATTTTGATTGCACATGATCATACATATATATACTATTTATATTATGGTAAACATATCATACTTATATACATGCTGTTATTTATTTCTAACATATGAAAAACAAGTAAACAAAATACAAAATAGAGAAAATAAGGATTGTTTTGCATCCAGATGTCTTTATAGCTTAAGAATGTACATCCAGCAGATGAGCTAGGTCATTTCTCCAATATAATAAACCTCCTCAAAAATAATGTTGGTAGTCAAGAAGTGAAAATTCTTGGAAAAGGCTGAAATAAAAAAAACACAGGTAAAATATAGATTAATTACATCCAGCAGAAGAGCAAGAACTCATTTCTCCCATTTAAACCTCCTCAAAGATCACTTTAGCCTTTGAGAAGAGAAAATTCTTGTAATAGCTATGAGAATGCATTATTACCAAGGATAAACAAGAAGTTATTAGTTATGAAACTGTATACCATATTAAATAAAGAGTAAGTCCAAGTTTTTCAACAGCATTTTTCTTGTCATAGGAAGTGGATCTAGAGAAAAAAACTAACCTCAAGCGAGACAAATCTTAAATTTAAGTATTTCAAAGAATCATCTTCAGTTGTTTCTGGGTGTCTCTCCTTCCATTCTTCCCACATGTAACTGTCATTCACGAAACGATAGCTATTAGGCAATGACACAAATCAAAACAACCAATGAGTGCATCAAGTAAAGATTCTAGACATAAATTAAGCACATATTGCCAAAAATAGAAAAATAATGCAGAGGATTTTAACCCAAGGAAAGCAATTTCGACTGACTCTCGGTATGGTATTTACTGATCCAACCGTTGATCAATCGATCGTCGACCAATATGCAGACCATCCAACTTCAGGCGATTCGTATGCATGGCATATCGGGCAATAGGTCATGTGAACCGAGTGGTAAGGCTTGTGAACAAGGCTTATTGCCCCATTCAGGCCTAGAACTAGGCCTGGACTGGCCAATAAACCCAACCTATTTTTTTATTTTCATAATCCTAAAAATAAAAAACCCTAATACCTAATCTCTCTCATGTGTTCTCTCTCTTCCCTAGCGCCTACATCTACCGCCACTTGCATCCACCACCGCCCACATCCGCCACTACTTACGTTTGTCGCCACCATGCCCTAGCAATCGATACTCTCCTCACCCTCCTCCATTGCACTCTCTCCTCTCCTCCACTATGCCTCCTTATAACACCCCGATTAGTCTCATATCAGAAGTAGGCAAGACAAAAATTTATTTGATGGGTGTACTACTATCAACTTCAGCTTAAACTTTTTGAGCTAGTGGTTCAAGCTTAACGAAGTTAACAAACCAGTTATTCCATCAAGCCAGGTCAATATTTGGTATCAGAGCAAACCTAGTTTTATGGTATGATATAGAAACTCAAGTAGGAAAGGATTCCCCATGAATGAAGTAAAGGGATTCGTCAAGGTGTGGAGCCTTCACTGAGCTATGCATCGCATGCACCATGTTAAGGCCTGATATGGGCTATGCTAGGCCTTGACGAGAACATCAAACCCTTAAGCGGAGGAGTTTGTAACACCCTGATTAGTCTCACATCTAAAATACGCAAAACTAAGATTTACTTATAAGGATCTGATGAGTATACTACTATCAATTTCAACTTAAGCTTTTTGAGCCAATGGTTCAATCTCAACGAAGTTAATAGCCCAATTATCCCATCTGAGGTCATGACATCCTCTCCTACACTATTGCATCTCCTCCTTTACCTCCACCACCTCCTTTTATTCCTCCCCCCTTTTATGTACTAGATTCTAATGTGCCATGTATCAAAACACCATAATAGATCAGACCTGTATCTAGCCAAGGACTGGCATGGGTTCGATACCCAAATTTGAAAACCTTGATCTCAATGGTAATTGCAGCACATTACACATCCGAAGTATCGACATTTGTAATATGTAGAAGTTTGTAATGAAAAACACAACCAAAAATAAGGTATTCTTATTACACATGAAAGACAAAAAGATTAAGCCGAAACTAAGCCTTGCAAATTACATAATTTAAATTACACATTACAAGGACTACTTGGACTGACGGGGGATGAAAAATCAACATCAAGGTTTGCTTTCCAAGGTCATGTGCTGATGGATGTGCTCGCAATGGTTCATGTTAAATTGGTCATTTCCCACAAACGATCCAATACAGCTAACAATATCTTTCGAGCACATGAAGGTCATCAAGATGATGACAAGTTTCAAAAGTTCAGCTGTTCTCATTGGATCCTCTGGTAATTGATTTAGGCTCCCAACACTGTCCATAGAGTACTATTGAACATGATGAGAGAGATTCTCCGATAGCAACAATAATTGAAAATCTTTTTTTTTTCATGAAAAGCAAAAACAGGTCATTCAACACCAGCAAACATGCACTAAAGTCTCATTATAGGAGAAAAGAAAAAAGCTTCAAATGAACTATAAGGGATAAATGGAATGATAGAAACAAGGCAAAAGTTGGCTAGATAATAAAAAAATTATTCAAAGAAAATATCAAAATGTGCAAGAAAAACACAACAAGAATAACAATGACAATAGATGAAAAAAGGAGTGGTTTGAGAAGCCTGAGATGGTCCCTACCTCGATCTATATCAATGCTATCTCTCAGTAGCTTCACCTATGACCCTTGTTTTCAACTTTTCCTCCTTGGACACATCTTTTCGGTGAAAGAAAAAGAGCTCCAAGAAATAAATATTAAAAAGGAAGAAGGACATGTCCTCCCACATTATGCAACATGCCTAACCTAACGAGACATCCCAACAAGAGTAATCTGATATCTTCACAGCTAACCATTATGTATAACTAAAAAAATGTATCATCATAAATATCAAAATTCGTTTAGTTATTATTTGAATCAATCTGCTCATAACAAACAAATTAATCTTCGTGGATCAGGTAATTTAAGGTACACATCACAAAGATTCGTGGGGAATGACAAACCAATATCAAGACTTGCTTTCCAAGGCATGAACACATGCTAATACCTGGTGGTCGCATGGCATGTGCATCCCTCAATTTGAAGTGTGGATCATGTATGAATGCATGTGCTCACAATTGTTCACGTATAAACTGGTCATCTGCCAGTTATTTCTCACAATCATTCATAATAGAGGTAACAAGTATCTTCCAGGCACACAAAGTTGATCATTTCATTACCTGAGCTTATTATTTTGCTTAATTGACAATATCAAATCCCACCTTCAGATAAAGATCCAAGTATGATGTCTAATGACCATAAATAGTGCTTGCCACAAACACATTTATGTTACCATAAACAATTACAGATGTTAATAAACTGATAAACTATGTTGGGCCTTAAATGTGTATGTGCTTACCTTTGGATAATATTCTTAAGACCACTATGACTGCCCTTGATAGAATCCATATGTAATATACAAGGCACTTTGTCAGAATCAATTTCATTATCTGCAATAACAAAATAAAGCACGAGTAAAGTTGTGCATATGACTGGACTGGAGTATGAAACTTCAAAACAGAAATTCTTGCCTTCCAAGTTTGCTACTTCTCCTGGATGACAAACAATAAGCAAACTCCAGTGCAGGCTGCCATTCAAGTAAAATTTAGATCAAGATGCAACGGTTTGCCTTCTAAACACAAATTGCAAAAATTTCTTACTTGAAGTTTACAGGTATGAATATGTAGTCCTTCTCAAATATATTTACTTTCCGAGTCCATTTACGGACACGCAGGAAAGCTGCTCTGCCTTCTGAGACACTACCCCGGTCCTTGTCAAGATCTGCTAGCTTACGGAAGAAAAAGCTGTTAAAGAAATGAAACCTATGCTTCTGATCAGGTTGAATCTTGTTCTTCAAGTACCTAAAACGCAGTAAACAACAAATGTTCAAATTCCACATAGACAGTATAAGCAAAATATATATCAAAAAGATATGCATTGACTTAAAGATAATACACAAATAAACAACACTAATAAAAGATTCACTGATCTGAAAACATTCATTCTTATCCAACCATCAATATAGAAATTCTACAAGAACAACAGAATGATGAATAACATATGTGAAACAGTGAAAGAACTAGGCCAAACATGATATCATTTAATTATATTAATGTAATAGGTGGCTGTTATATACATATATACACACACACACACACACACACAGAGAAAAGACTTCAAATTTATGCATCTCTAACCTTGAAGATAGCAATGCAGCCATTGCAGTCCTAATACTTCTCTGGTCACCAAAGTGAAGTGTTAGGTGATGCAAAGATAAAAAGAGCATACACAATATATGAGGCTCCCACCAATGCGAAGTCTGAGAGGATCAATCTATGCAACCTTACCTAGTTCTAAATTAGGTAATGCAAAGATAAATTTAAAAAAATAAAATAAGAATATGAAATTTGATATTAATCATAAATCTCAAGACACCTTAATTCTCTATTATGGCATATCTTCATCCTCAAACTTCCTTGTCCCCTTTTCTCTCGTTATATCTTTCCTCGAGTGTGAATATTACCCAAAACGTAGAAGATGAGCGAACTATGATGGCTGCAGCATACAGTAATCATAATTGTAGGAACATCTCTTCTGTTTTACAGTCATGGTTGTAATCATTTTTCTCTTTTTTGCCTCCATTTCCACATTGGTTTTCCCCTTCTTCCCTTCATTTCTACTCATTTCTGTCTTTTTCTATTAATGATGCTGTCAACTACCTAGGATTTCCAATAATCAGCCAACTTCTGTAAAGTTTGTACATTCTGGCCTATTTGACCATTTTCTGGTTACAAGGCTGAGTTATTGAATGAAATTGAATCAATTTAATGATCAGCTGTCTTGTAATAGAATTGGCCAATAATACAAACCACCATTTTTTATTGTTCAAAGATTAAAGAAATAAAAGCATCTGAAAAGCAAATTAAAAGAAAAGCTAGGAGCAAAATTGAAAGCCTGAATTATAATCAAGGCACCAAAGTTACAACAAGGAGAGGTGCTAAAGATAAGCAATGAAATGGTGATGCTGACTATGAATCCAGGTAGATGTTTCTCTACAATCATCCACATAATAGCATCACACTAATGGAAGATATTTGCGTGAGTAAGTTGCTTACATGGACATAATATTTACACATAAATCTGTCCTAATCCACAATGTTATGCATCAGAACAACTCATATATATTAAATTGATTAACTGCAAGAAGTCATCTGTACAGAACAGATATACCCCTCTAAGTTACATGTTACTTGACAATAAAGAGCATTTCCTGAGTAGAATTCTGTGCAGGAATAGCAAAAGGGTCTATCAAGTGAATCAGCAGAAGTATTCAGTTGAACTTACTTGATATAGAAGTCGATAATGGTGTCATTGATGAATGTCTCAGGTTGTAATAGATCAACATCTCTTTTACTTATAGAAACAGCATCAGGATCGCCTTTAGGGTACACAACATCTTCAAAGGAATCTGCATTTCTGAAGCAAAGCAGACTGCACAAATCAGATGTCACAATGGAAGTATAATGAGTGAGACTAAAATCGTCCTTAATCCACAAAATAATATGCTGTTGTTGACAAAAAGGTACCACTCCGAAGTTCTAGTAGCCACCAGGATGAAAAGTAGCAGTTATAGCATCACACTAAGATCACCCTAACTGTCAAGCATACGCATAAGTTCTGTTCTTCACTTCTGAGAGAGCTTCTTCTGGTTTTTATTAAATTTTATGGACATTCAGAATGCTTCAGAGAATGTTGCCTTTAGTTGCATTAACAATAAAATGGCAACCATATGAGAAACATTAGAATGCTAAATCTTGTTCATCTATTATCTATTGAGCACATGAAAAGAATGTATATGCATAAATCTATGAAGAGAAGCCATGACTTCATACTTATATTACATGTTTAATCAGAGACACAGAGATAAATGCACCAACGCGAAAAATCATTCAGTTTGATATGATAACAGTATCTAATACAACAATGTATAGAAGTAATGACAAACAAGATTAAGGATTCAACATGAGCATGTAGGTTGCTGAGATTTCTGGGTTTATTTCCAGATTCTGCTTCTACACAAAGATAACAAATAGGGCACCCAAATCAAAGAAGACAACAAATACCAATATAACTAGAACTCACTCTGTGAAGTAGTCCCTTGAAAATAATGCACTAGGATCCAGTGAGTCATCTTCCCACACCATATCTCTGAAATCAAAGAAAAAAATGTTTTCAACAAAAAGGCATTGAGAATTTGAGGCAAGCAGAAACAGATAGCATGAACATGAAAAATAAATGTTCAGAGACCAAATAGTAGTAAAAAATATTTGGTTAAGGGGTACAATACAATGGTCTATAACAAGATTTAACCATGTGAACTTTTAACTCTAGGAACAAAATGCACTAATGCATTTAGTGAATAAATCCCACCTTGGGTTAACTACCAACACTAAAGACCAAAAGTAACAATTGAAGTCACAGGAACATACAATGGAAGATATTTGGCAAAGTTGGGAATTATCTTCTACAACAAATATATATATATCTTATATGTAAAACTTGTGGTTGAAGTTTTTTGGACATCACCAGGCCCACTATAATCAGCAGCAACTATAATCAGACTAAAGAGAAAAACAACCACAATGGTAGTGTTGGCCTAAAGCATGACCACCTAATAAGCTTATAACAAAAATTAGGTTCAAGAGAAAATGAGATATCCTGCAACAAAAATGGTGCAATAATGCTCCACAATGCAAAAGGATAATAAAAGAACAGTGAAGAACTAGGAAGTATAGAAAATCAGTGAGAATAGATAAGCAATTTCTCGAGATCCTGTAACAGGACATGATAATAATCTTGAAAAGGGGTGAGGTCCAACGGTCAGAAGTTCATGATGATGTAATAAATGACTATTTCATACAAGGTTCGCCGTACCGTACCGTACCGGCGTTTCGACCCAGGCTCGGTACCGGTACGGTACGGTATACTGCTCGGTACACCAAGGTGTACCGAGCGGTACACCAAGGTGTACCGAGCGGTACACTCAGGCGTGCCTAGCACTGTAGCAGTGCTACAGTGTGCTACAGTGTCGGAACGGTAACCTATGGTCCGCGTACCGAAAGTCTGGCGGACCGGTACGTACCGCCCGTACCAGGCGGTACGGATCGGTACTGCAAACCATGATTTCATATATGCACATATAAGGGTGAAACTATACCATGACACTCTTGACAATGTAGGATTTGGGGATTATCATTGGTATCTTACATGTGTATATGTAACAAAAAGTATTAGATTCATATATCACCAATCACAAATGGTTATGACAACCAAAGATCACAAATCACATGTAAAAAATCATAAATTCACAACATAATTATGTCACTTACTATTACTGCAATTAGCCAAAAAATACCAATGTTAGCCAACGCACAAATTCATAAATCATAACATATTCTCTGAGAACCTTGATAAGTAGTTAAAGGACTAATACATAACCAAAGTGAGAGCTTTTCTCCATTGAGGAAACAAATAGCTTCAGATATTTGAATTGTATGAATGGGAATTTAGAAATGTTAAACTCTAAGCTAAACTAAACCCTACAGAAACCCCAAAACAATGTCAACTAATCCTTTCCTGAAGCATTTATGTTTAGAGAACAAAAGCATTTATGATGTAGCAATGTGCTGAATCTTGATTCTTAAATTAATTATTGACAGAAGTAACATAGAAAATGTTACTTCTACAAAGGCTGAGAAGTTGATCTTTAAGGACAACTTAATTAAAAATTTACAACTAGGCTGACACAATGACCCTCAGAAAGATCTACATCTAACATCACTACTTGGTCAATTTCTCCATCTAAGAAACTGACAATCACATGTGATGTGGCATCCATAGTGGAGACAATACCTACCCATAATAAAAACTCATTAAACTATGGCAACAACTAAAGCGCAAATCAAAGAAGAGTCTAACAAATTGATAGCATATTAACATGTATTCCAAGAATCAAATATTCTTTAGCTCATATACAAGTTTGATAGAAGGGCTGCCAGTAATTGTGTCTCCATAAAATTTCTTGTGAGCATTATAATACACATATCTCCAGTGAGATAACAATGCCACCGAGTAACATTTGTCTACGCTAGTAGTGGCTCAGGGTACTATTCCCAACCAGTGAAAAATAAATTAATTAACAATGATATTCTTAAAGCAACTGTGAAATCATACAATAGCTTAGTTGTATAATTGCATAACTTATGAGCTTAAAGAGCATACCCAGAATTTGCATTCCATATATCTCTATATCTTGCTGCCAGATTTCTAATCTTGTGTTCCTTCTCCAACCAACACATGTCGTTCACAGAAAAAATTACCTTCAAAACATCTAGAAGAAAAATAAATAGTTGAAATATCATCCTGAGCAAATTCATCAAGGGAGAGTGGAGAATATCACACTAGTGTAAGAGTTGCAGAATGTGCTTCTGTGCTCATCACAAAAGAGATCCTACAGTGGCAAAAATTTGAAGGAAAGATAACGGAAAATGCAAACTGTATTATCTAAACCAGACGTACAAATTTCAAATTGTCTTAAGCAAGGTTCGCAATTTCGTACAGTACCGAGCTGAGCTATACTGAGCGGTATGCTTTGACGTCTCGGTATATATATATATATATATATATATATATATATATATATATATATATATATATATATATATATATAATAATAATAATAATAATAAAGTTAAAAAATAAAAAAAAGGGCGACGTCGCCTCGTTTCTTCTCCCCGTGTGGGGAGAAGAAACCTTGTTTTCTTCTCGCGATGTCGCCTTGTTTCTTCTCCCCACGAAGCCTCGACGACGTCGCTAAGGCTTCTTCTCCCCGCGCGGAAGAGGAGAAGTCGCCGACGATGCCGAGACCTCATCACCTCAAACGAGGAGGAGGTGATATCTCATCTGCGGCGTCCGGCGAAGGAGGGCGATGACGGATCGGGATCGTCGAGGGAGAGCGGTGCTGGATCTCCAGGTTCTCCCTTTTCTTCTCACTCTTCTTCTCCCTCTTCTTCCTTCTCCCTCGGCTAATACCGTCCGGTAACAGGCGACGATGGTCGAATCGATTGTCACCGACCGATTTCGCGTGGTAACGGGGCGGAAACAACCCCAATCGAGGGGTCCGCGTACCAGTTTGTAGCAGACCGGTACATACCGCCCACATCATTCGAAATTAAAAACCCAAGTCTTAAGTACCATGCATGTTAGAAATTAAGAGTTGTGAACTTTGAAGTGATCACATCCATGAAAAAGAAACTTCCTTCAATTGTTCAACTAGATTTTTGAACTAAATAAAATTATACTAATTTTTTGTTGTTGTAAATTTCATATGTATACCAAGAACGTTGTCCTTGATAATAGCCTGACCAATTCCTTTCTGTATATTTTGAACTGAAGCACCATATGTTTGCGTCCCAATAACCTAGAATGGCCCTAAAATTGAAGATGAGGTAATAGTCGTCATCCTTTAAAATCTCCGATTCTCTCAAAATTAAAAATGAAGAGACTCCATATTTGATCATGGTAAGAATCAAAGTATCGACTGCAGTACACACCAGTTCAGCTGGCATGAACACTTTTATGTCATGACACCAGCACAGTCCAACAGCACTAGACATCCCCATAATACCATGTCATGTGCATTGATCTGGCATGCAGCACCACAATGTTTCCACTTACGCAATGTCTAAGTCATGCACAGATGTATCCCACAATTCTGATACATCATTTCACAAGTATGGTACATCCATTGTAGTGAACAGATCAACAGAGTACAAATGACTTCAATCCATATGCTAGTCCTATCAACATGGGCATCACTGTCACTGGAATTGCAGGAAGCCGAATGAATTACCATTATCTATGGACGAGTGCATTACTGTCACTTATTACTTTACTAGGCAGTGCGCATTAGATAAGTTTCATGAACCCTTCCAAGTTACATAGGACATCCCAAGACCTGCGTGTAAGTGTGAATCTTCGAGTCAAATCCATCTTAATCACAAATTCTAGGATCCAAGGATTCAGCAAACAAAGGACCGAATATCCAAATAATGGACTTATAATATTGAGCAGTTATGCTTATAACCAAGGACGATCTTTCACCAGGACCGAAACAAAACGGGTGATACATACTCATCCGTCTGTGAATCATTACATGGACTGTTCCCGTTTCAGGCAATCCGGTCCGCCCATATAGAAAAGAAAGAATTTGTCTATGCCTTTGCCCTAATCACATCTTGCACGTGCACGCATGACCACACCGAACACTGTTGCTGCACATCACCTTTGCCCTAATTGTGTCTCATGCATGCAGGATATATCACGAATGTCTACCGAATATGCCTCTTCTCTTCCTCCACCGCCTCCTCTCCTTCCTCTTCCTCTTCTTCTGTCTTCCTTCACCACCACCTCCTCTTCTTTTTTCTTTCTCCACTCCCTCCATCATCTCCTCTTCTTCCCTTCTCCTTTTTCTTCCTCCTTCCTCCTCTTCCACCACAGCGCCTTCCTCTTTGCATTCATGTTCATCTTTGAAACACCGGTACCAACCGATACGTACAGATTCGGCCAAGGACTAGAACAAGTCTGGTACGCAATATGACAATCCTTGCTTATAACTACATAAAAGCTTTTGGCACCTCCATTCCTAACCAAGTTCTATAGAGAAAAGAGCACACACTTTATGTCAATATAGAACCGGGCAGAGACAGCCAAGCTCACAATTGGAAGCTTTATAAATTGTTTATTGAAACAAAAAAATCAACAAATATATGTAAACAGACCACAGATATATGTCATTTTGTAAACATTTTCCACCTGACATAAATATCAGTACTAAAAAATCAACCTAACAACCCAATCTAATCCAAAAGAGTACACGGCTAACACAAAATCTAGTGGCGACCAGATTATACAAATCACAGAAAAAAAATAATGCATCAAGGAGTTCAACTGCCAATCTTCCAATAACTGAATATAAGAAAGAGACAAAATTGATAGAAGAAGTATGTAAGAGACAAAGTCAAAGTAAATTGTAAAAAAACATTAATGAACGTACCAGAAACATTATGATGTTTCTCACTTTTAGTCACATCATTTGCTCTAAGGCAAAGTTTAACCAATGCAGTAGTTACCTGGAATAAGGAGACACAACTGATGCTATGGACAACAATGTAATACATAACACAACAATAACAACAAAGCTGTAACACTACAATGTAATACAAAAAAAAAAAGATCTTCCATGGCTAAGAAAACTCACAGTTCCACTCCACCGACAATCAATATGAACTATATCAGAAACAGCCCATTCAGAAGCAAACTTTTCATCACTTCCACTTGCATCTGAACACTCAATCTTAATGCAATCTGAAGAGAAGACAAGCTGAGAATCTCCATACAAAGTGTTCCCATGTATGACATAGTCAGGGTAGATCATGACTGACATCTGATTGTTAAACTGCTAATCACAAAATAGAAGATAGCAAATCAGGTAAATTGCTTTTAATATGAGCAAAAATAACACTTGAACTTGCAGGATTAAACTATTGTGTTGAAGTTCCAAGTATTTTGTTCATAAAAATATACTTATGCACTGCTGACAGCTTACAGGATCCAAGAAAAACCAACATCAAAATCTGATTAAAACATTCCAGAGTTGAACCTTAATTGCCGACATATTGTACACAACCATTGAATTCTACAGTGACAGGGAATTATAAGTGGAAGAGTTGCAGAATTTTGTTGGGACCTAGATGAGATTACATATTTACTTAAGACAATGAAGTACTAGTTTTGGAGCTTTTGAATTCATATATTGACTCTTTCGAAGCTCACAATTTTTTGTAACAGTTCTGTTTCCTTCTGTCATTATATTGCTTAGCATTGCTTTCAGTACATTCTAAGCTCAAGTTCATCATTGCCAAGTCAATCTAGATTAGCTAGCATGAATTGACTGCATTAGGTTAGGTTGTATCTCATAGATCAATCTACATCACATGTATGACCAATTGTCTATGTTGTCATATTACACTCTATCTGATGCCCCCAAACCATCCACAACCATAGACATGGATGGGTTGGGTCACTACACTTGGGCTAACCAATTTTAAGCCACATGTTTGAGAATGTTGCCAAGTTATTAGATTGGTTGGCTACCAACTCATGAAGATTGTATCAGCTTTCTGCATGGGTTGGCACATGGCAATATGAAGATTTCATGATGCACATGAAGAAAAATGTTGCTTCACTTTCTCCCACATTGCAATCACCAAAAGTGGAATGGTACAATAGCAAATCAGCAAGTGCTATCTTTAAGTTAAAGAGGTCCTGACCATGGTTGTCAAAAAGACCTAGTAGACCCTGGTGTCAGATCTATCCTACAGACTAGAGGTGCCTCAGGCTTCCTATGTGGAAGCCAAAACAACCAAATTAACAAAAGCCAATTCATTCATGCTAAATTCAACCAATACATAACAATCATGGAATTTCAATAACCTCTAAGAGTACAGTGTTTTTGTGTATTTGAATCCTGCAGCAGTAGTATTGACATTTGAAATGCATCATTATTATTTTACAATAAATAAGGCATGCATTGCATATACATTCATGCATGAATTTATCTACTAATAGAAAACAGTATGCATAAATTCTTAAATGTTTATATGGTAATCTAGCATAGACAAAGTATCCTAAGACCCGATATTTCAAACTTTAGTGAAAAGGTCTAATACCAAAGTCTCAGTGTGACCTATTCGAGTTTGCATTGGCATTATGAACAGCATATATAACCACGATTTTCAGTTTTGGGTACCAGACTCATGTTGTTCCGTGGCCAAGCCGTTTCAGATTTTGTCGGTATGAGGGAGGCAGTAACGTAGAAGATGAAGAGTGGAGGCACCAAAGAAGAAGAGGAGGGGAGGAGGAATCATTACAGGAGGAGAAGGATGAGCAGAAGCTGAGGAGGAGGTTGAGAAGAAGAGTACTGCTGGCAAATGGGAGTAAGGCAGTACCTCATATGGACCATCCGAAATTAGGCAGTTCACATGCGGTTTCATGTCCGGATTGGTAAATATCAGCCAATACATGCTAGTCCAAACAAAATTATGCTCCTTGTGTATAACATAGCTAGTTGCCCTTGACATTGCAAATAGTCCATATAAAGAAACACAAAATAATAGAAGGCCAAGTGCCAATTTCAAGATGAAGAGATAAGAGAATGATATTCTTTCATTCATAAATTTCCTTGCTTTTCTATCAAGTGATGCAAGCATGATGAGTTGTGGGCTTCAAGGGATATCTAATAGTTTTTAGACCTTATTTATGCAGGGCATCACTATACAAGATACAGCTAATCGGCCTCCAACATACACACATACATATAGCTAATCGGCCCAGTGATTTAAAAAGCACTAGGCGCCAAGGTCCAAAAACGCCCGAGGCGCTAGGCGCTCACCCAAGTGCTCACCCGAGCGAAGTGAGATGCTAAAATATAAAAATATATAATATAATTAATAAATATAATTATTTAAATTTTTAAATAAAAATATGTTATTAAGTTAATCTAATAAATACAAATACTATTACTAGTATATAGTTAACAGTATACTATCGAAGAGTGTAAGGGAAGAGTCGGAAGACTGAGGATGTTGACTGAGAAGAGCGGGAGCAAGAGCGACAACTGCGAGCGATGAAAGTGGTAGCAGCAGCAGCGGCAGCGACGACATTCGCACCGGCAGCAACGAGCAGCGGGAGCGGAAGCGGCGAGCGGAGACAGTGGCAACAGTAGCAACGACAGCAGTAGCGAGAGCGGGAGCAGAAGCGGTGAGCGGAGACAATGGCAACAGTAGCAGCAACAGCGACAGCGGGAGCGACGAGCGGCGATAGTGGGAGCGGCAGCGGTAGCAGCGAGCAGCGATAGCGAGAGCGGCGAGCAACGACAGCAGCAGTGGCAACGAGCAGCGACAGCAATAGCTTGAACGGTATGCAGGGTTAGGGTTGGGGAAGTCACACTGATATCGATGCTTTAGTTGGTTCGATTGAACCAACTAAAGCACCAGAGACCGAACCAGACCTCAAACGCTGGTTCGGTCGCCTGGTTTAACCCAGGCGCTCGCCCGAAGCACCCGGCGCCTGGGCTCGGGCGAGCGCCCAGGTGGCGCCTCTTTGAAGCGCGCCGCCTGGAAATGAAGCGAGGCACTCGGGCCTCGCCTCGCCTCGCCCGAGCACCTTTATAAATCACTGAATCGACCTCCAACATACATATATATATCCATTGTATTTATCTTCTTTTCATCTGCAAGCTGATATATGTAGACTACTACCAAACAACTATTTCCTCTAAAAGTGTAAATAATACACTTAAGTAGAAATAAAATCAACCATAAAAAGCACAGGAGACAACATTCAATCAGACCTTTCCAAAAACAAATTAGTTAAATTAAGGCTCTTTAAAAAAGATTTACCAAGGTTATTAAGCATCTAATATAAAATACATCAAAACATCCAATAGTACACACAAGACTAGCCAGCAGATAACTATCAATATGATATACACAACGTAGACAAAATTACACCAGCAAGTAACGCTTGTGTCAGTATAAAAAGTGACACTTTATTCAAAATTGAACACAAGTTGGTTTCAACTCTACAACTTCTATGAGCATAGAGCAATTCTAGTTGGCCTCTTCTACCTGTTCCGACTCGATCAGTCTTTCCAGTTTCCATTCCTTTTGTTATCATTTGGTTCCTCCTATGGTTTCCTATTTTTTTTCAGTTTCAATTCTTGGAACTTTGGAGAAATAAGTTTATTTTTAATTATAGAGATTATCAACATGATGCATACCAAAGATCTACAAAAAAATCCCAAACTATTTATCACAAGCATCTAGATCATAACCAGAACCAAGGAATTGAATATCATGGGATACCACCTAAACAAGGCACGATGTACTAGGCCACGTTTAGACTGGGTTGTGGATGACCTGGTTTGATATTTAATCGCATTAAAGTTACATTCCAATTCTAAATAGATTTTGGTCTACAGATTGTTGGTATGGAACTTTATGATTTGCGGCTTGCAACCCTGTCTCCCAATAGAAACCATAGGGCAATGTGCAATACTCAGTGGCATTGTTGGAGGAAAGGGGCAGAAATTTCTTATTTATTCTTATTCTGTTTTTTTTTCTTACCCAATTGGTATAGGTCAAAACTGACCTGCGACTGTCTCCCAATAGAAACCATAGGGCAAAGCCCAATGCTCTTGTGGCACTGTTGCAGGAGACGAGCAGAAGATTTTTATTTACTCTTCTCTTTTTTCATATCTAACCAGTATAGGTCAAAACTAGCATGTATGCCTCTCACGGCATACTAAATCGGCTCAACCAATGTCTGGTCAGAAGTACAAGTTAAACCTTGTTTAGGACCTTGTTCTATTAGCTTTTACCACAAACACAAGGGCATTGATATCTTTCTCATTCCCTTCTCTCTTTATATCCTATTGGTATCCTACACTTTGGTGAATCACATCTATTAAAAATCAAATGCAGGGATTCTGATAACACACTCCATAGAATAGTCTGCACACCCTTAATACATTGTAAAAGACATGGCATATCAGGGAAAAAAAACTCTCTTAAGTTTCCTAAACTTCAAAACCATGCCTAAAGTTATATCAGCCATCATATTGCTTTCAATGATTAATAGGTAACAACATTGTCATTCATTTGGTCTGGTAACAATGTGAAAAATTAACTCTGGCCAAAAGGAAATCCATAAATCAGAAAAACAAATGAAATTTGACATTAATGAACATCATCAGATACAACCATACATTAGAAAATGGAACAAACAAATTGACATTTATCGAAGTTAATAAAGTCATATCCACCCTACCCAGTTCCAACCGATTAGGATGTAGTCCTACCAATCAGGAACTAGTATATCGGTATATCCTATATAGAGAAAGCAATCAACAGTAGGATATGTTTCTAAATGAAGAAGGATATTGAATTGACTAATGGTTAAAGGAGAGCATGAAACACTAACATCCACACAAAAATATATTTGATTGTTTGAAAAAGAAAGAATAAGTAAAGGATTGATTAGAGAAAGTCATGTCTTGTATAAATAAACAAATTCTCTCTGTGTTCCAAAAGGATAGCAATTGGTTATTATTACCACATCTCCCATTGCAGCATAACAATTTTCCAACTCTGGGCACTCCATCTGGCCTGAAATTAAAAAGTAAGATGCTGTAAATAAGGTATCATGCAAAAAGAACAAAACTCACTAGCAATAGTTGACCTTCATCCTCTGGAGTATCAGAAGCAGTACTTGATTCAGATCCAGACATCAAGGACCAGCTTTCTTCATCTTCAGAAACCACATCAACTGCCATCCCCTGACAAAATTCCAAATTCTCAGGATAAATAACTAAATGGAATTAATACAGTACAGAAATTTTCTCTGAGAGATGCTACAAGAGAATACATCAGCAGGAAAGTCCAAGAAATGTTTGTTGCCTATAGGGTTCTGAAGAACAGAATCTCCAACAGCCTTAGTATCCTTCCTCGTTAGATTTTCATCTTCAAAATTATCTGGATAAATCTGATCATGCTCATCATATTTTGTAGAGGAAGACATGATTTCATCCAACTCTGCTTTCTCATCACCCAAAGCAAGGCCCTGCTCTGGTCCATCGATAGCATAGGAACCTGTGTCATTGTCTCTTTCGTGCATATCTACACATATGATGTCGGTCACATCACCCTTGAAAGTCAAGCCTGACGTGTCTGCATCAGAAGAGAACACAAATATTTCATTAGAATTGCACAAATTTGTAAAACAGACAATGGCCACAAATTTGTCAAAAAATGGAGTTAACCATATAAATATGAAAGAATTATCTGGTGCTTATTTTAAAATATTTACTAATTTCATGCAACGAGAGGCAAGAGCAACTGCAGATGCTACTCTAATGCAGATGAAAAGTTCTGCCAAGGATCTCCTGAAACTTGCCATTCATTTGCATTATAAAATTTTTGGTGACACAAACATGTGACCACCCCTTTTCAAGCCAACCGGCCACCCAAGCCGGTTCATACCAGCCCATGGTTCTTACCAATCCATGAGCCGAGATATGGTCCCCCCTCTGTTCAAGCAATTTGATCTGGGTATTTAAAATAGAAATCAATTGAAATCTTTCTCATGCATCGTGACTCCTAGAATCCGCTGATCACACCACCCCTTGTTGCCACCTGCTCGACACCACCCATTGCAGATCATTACCTGGTACAGCTTGTTCTCCTCCTCCTTTTTCTTCCTCCTTCCTCCTCCCCCTGCTCCTGCTCCTCCTCCCACAAACCAGCAAATGGTATTATGGTACATAACAGTGTACCATGGGTCAGTACGCTGGCATGGACCAGACCTGTAATAATTCAGCAATGGACCAGTATGGGTCCGGTAACCGAAATGGAATTCCTGGGATTGAACATCAAAGTTTGTTCATCTTTTGTGATAAATTAGTAAGGTAAGATAGGCAAAAGAAATAGCAATAAAAATTACAGCTGCTTTGCATCACATCTTTGTACTGTACTCAGATCCATCAACACATCCTAATTCTAAAAGTTCTATTCAATTAAATGATTATGCACTCATCAATGGACAACTCACAAACGATACAAATGACATCCTTTTCGTAAGTGTAGGGCATTTCAAAAATGAAGACAAGCCAAAGCAGGTGTCATATGTAAAGCTCATCTCCCCCTTCGGATGGATTCTACTTATGAAGTCTTGGAAACCTATCTATTACCCAAAAACTGCATTAGTAAATGAAACACCAATTCCATAAGTGCAATTTTGGTCAACATCCTTGTTCAAGATATCAGCCATTGCACCATAAGCCCATAAACACACCTCTTCCTCTGACCTCCTTTGCAGGATTACAGGGTGGCAATTAGTCAGGTATTTTGTTCACTGCATTGATGGAGTGGAAATTAGTCAGGTATTTTTTTCACTGCATTGATGGAAAAACCATTGAAACCAAACCATGAAGCCTCACTTTCTCGATGTGTTTTACCCCTACCAAACCAACAACTGAAATATAAAATTCTCAAGGAAGCTCCCAAAAGTACTTATAGCCTTCAAAACATGCTCAAATATTTAAAAACCAAATGTAGAAAGCACAATAGTTCAGAAGCTAATAGATCTATTCCAAAAGTCAATGATATTCAGGAACCAATGCAAATGCTCAAAGACTAAAATTATATATTGCTCCTCTTCAAGCTCAATGGTAAAAATATTACACTTCAATAAGGATAAATTTTAGAAGCCACAATATGGATACTTCAAGATGCTTAATACTTCCATATGTAAAGCTAAGCTGAACCCTTCTATCGAATTCTACTTTTGTAAGTCTTGGAAATGTATCTATCACCCAATAACTACATTACTAACTGCAACACCAATATTAGAAATGCAATTTTGTTCAACTTCCTTGTTCAAGAATTAATATATTGGAAATTTGCACAATAAGTCCATAAATGCACCTCTTGCTCTGACGTTCTTTGCAGGATTACAGAGTGGCAATTGGTCAGGTTTTTTGGTCACTGCATTGGTAAAAAAAACCTTTGAAACAAATGAGAAAGCCTGGTTTATCTCTACTGTCACACCAATACGCAAGATATTTCAAGATGCTTATGTACCCACTACACAGTACGTCATATACTTCCTTAAAGTATCTGATTTATAAATAATAACTAGCAAACAACTACACATCAATATTTGGGGATACTTCATGGATAGTCTGGTCACTGGTGAATGCTTCATGGTGATAATTCTTGGAGGACTTTGTTCTCAGGCAATTTCTTAGATGACTTTGTTATTATGAATGTTAATCTTGAAATAAGAACAAGATGTCAGATATGTTGTTTAATCAGTCTAAGCATCATAAATTATCTAAGTCAGCAATGATTTGTCCATCTTATTTCCTTTCATTATAACTTTACTTTTCTTCTCCACAACCTAGAAGTATAATGTTATGAAAAAAGGAGTTCCTACAAACCAAGGTTTTCAGTTTTGAATTCTGGACCCATGTTGGTTGCTAGCAAACCGGTACAGGTCTGGTATGCACCAGTACACCAACACTCGGTATGTCGATGCATACTATAGGACGAACCCACTAATTGTTCCCAGAATTCTCTGCTTTTTAAAGTGAATTTAAGGGAAAATTTATCATTTGTTACACATAAGAAAAGGACAGGAAAAAAAAACTAAATAAACACAGTATACTAGTCATCCAAATTGAAACATAACAAGATGCATGTAAGATGACCTGCAGATGGTTCCAATCCACAGCGCATTTGATTCTGAATGACCAAAAAATAACTGAATTATTGGAATAAACTTCGATCCATATTAATCCTAGGTCATACTAGATTGGCAAGCGTAATACAATGTGCACAAATATTGTACAAGAATGTAAATGGTCCTCATTACAAGCATAGCACAGAATTTTCTCAATGATTCTAATAGATATTCATATTAATAAGATATACCCTTATCATCGGAGTCAAATTTCCATTGTAAAATGGTTGAGCCATGATTAAAATTTCTAGTGAAACCAATCAAATTAGTTCAGTGTTGGTCAATTTTGGATGGAAGTGTTGAGTTCAAGAAACTTTATTGACTAAATTTAATCTAACCTAGTTTCTCTAAAGGGTTGCCATAGAATTTTCATTGTTTGTAGCTCAAAGACTAAGAAAATTTTGGATTATGTAAGCCAAAAGTTTAAGCAAACTTCATCTTCTCACTGCATGGTGCTGCCATTAAATTATTTCCTCCTATTTAGACTACACTATGATCTTCCTATGAAATTAACACACTGACTTATTATGTCACGAATGACCCATTATTTGCTCATCAAAGTTTGTAGAATCTACCAACATCATTCCGAGGCTAAAACGTCGATCGGCAGCTGACTGGTAAACCAACTTAGGGAACAATTAGGCAGGTTACATAACACTTCCACCAGTTAACGTACCCATCATCAATCACACTGGTAACCCGTAATTCACCACAAATACTTGTACGTTGAATACAGCATGCCGAGAACATTTCGCCGCAAGGCAAACGAAAACCTCAAAAAGAAAAAGAAAGGGTTTTGGTCGGGGAAGAGCTTACAGGCCTCGAGGAACTGGTTCTTGTTGACCGTGTCGTCCATCCTAGGCCTCAATCTGGACTGCAACTTCGCCGTGAATCTCCCAGCCGCCGCCTCCACGGCTGCCTCCTCTTCGCTGAAATCGAAGACCGCGAGATCCTTCTGCGACGAGCCTCTCATCACGGTACCCAGATGTACGCCGACGGATCGACCCTCAGAAGCCCGAAAACCTCAGAAGCTGTCATCGCTGGTCGATCTCTCGGGGGCTGAATCTCAACAGAAATCGTCGGCAGAGGACCAGAGGAACTGTTTGACGAACGGGCCGTCGCGCTTTAATGAGCCCTAAATTCACAGGGCCCAAAATGTGTGTGTCTGAGAGAGAGAGAGAGAGAGAGAGAGAGACCGAAAGCTCGATTTAATATTGCATATAATAAACTTCGTGTCGATTTTGCCGCCGTTTCAATCGACTGACTATGCCGTTACGACCATTATAACGTTCTTAATGGACTAACGGTACCGTTATAAACTATATAGTGTTACTATATGTGACGTGAACAAATATTTATCCAATAAAATAATATGTCGGTTCTTGAATCATAATAATAGGAGCTGAAGCTGAGGAATACTACTAACTTAATGCGAGACTCGGATTACCAGCATGTAGATCAATTCAGTCATGTAAAGGTGGATATATATATACATAGTATAAATCCTAAACCCCTGTAAATATTAGCTTTAAATCATTTAATTATTGTTTAGTAAACTTCACTGATGATTTAATCAGGATATTTTTGTTAGTATTTAGATTTTGAATGGATTTGTATGCAATTAAGTAACATTTTTATTTTTTATTTTTATGTAACTTTGCCTGAAGAAATATGCATTAGACTTTTTGAATTTTGCCAGTAATAATTTCAAATATGTTTTTTTTAATGTACTGACAAAACTTTTTAATTTTGACCTGTACAAATATCTGACACCCGATCAATTTTATATATCTCTTATTTAAATAAAATTAATTAATTTAAGAGTTACTTTATCTATGGTAAGTTATCTGAATAATTTTGATTTAATTTTCTTGTTTACTCAAGGAAAAAATATTTTAAAAATTAAAAAAATTTAAATTATAATTATGATTGAAGATTTCAAATCCTTATCGAAGTTTTTGTGAAGATCGATCTTTAGGAGAATGAAAGCATATATCTACCCATCGAATCATATATTTGATTTGATGTAATTATAAATTTTGTACTTTTATTTTGTTTTCTTTTACTTAACCTATGAAAAGGGATGATAAATCAGTCAATAGATCATGTTTTTCTGTGTAAGTAGTGCGAGATCAAAATTATGTTTTTGAGTTTACTCATGGAGCTAGAGTGAGTTTGATAGTTATCATTTTTTTATTATTATAATTTTTTTTTCTCTCTACCTCTCTATTATAAAAAAAATCTATTGTTACTCATCCTAAATCAAATTAGTATTAAAGCTTTTGGTTTAGCCAATATATTCTATCATGAATATTGATCTATATATATATCTATTATTTAAATAAATTTGATTAATTTAGATGTTATTTTGCATATCATTAGAGGATTGTTATCTTCTTTTTACTATTATTATTATTATTTTCTTTTCTCTCTCTACCTCTCTATCATAAAATTTTTTTTTGCTTTTAGTCATCCTTATATCATGTCTTTGCTGTTAATGTCCATTAAGTGTAAATAATTCATAACAAGATTCGGTGCCAAGCTATATAAACTAGAGTTTGCATTGAAAACGTAACATTAAGAAAGAGGTGGATATCTAAATCATATACTAGAAGTGTCTGCCATAAGAAACATGCATACAAATCCATAGATACAGATAAAATTAACTGACTTGACAAATTAGCAAAGTTGAAATATCTGAGAGCATAGCTGCAGGATTAAACTGAAGATTTGTGGCAATAAAAACGTAAAAGATGTAGATTATACAGATATTAAAGTTGCAGTCCATAAAATTATGCAATTTATTCCTCAGCCTTTCTTCATTGCAACATAGAGAACTTGCATGTTCTTCAACTTTAGACCTTTTCCCAATCCAGAATTTAAAAAAGTATACGTATATATAGATAAAACTTGTACTACATAACTGGATGTCATCAATCCTGAGGATTACAAAACAACTCTAAAGTCTTTGAAAACTCACTGGTTTCTACTTAAAAGACGAAGAAAGAAAGAAAGGAAAAAAAAAAAAACTTGAAGACTTCAAAAGAATTCTCAAGACACATCTCTGCAGAGGATTTGACTGTAACTATGGTTTCTCCAACAGATGGGTAAACTATGCATTACAATATGTTCGAAGAGATCATTATACTTGCAGAAGGAAGAGATGAATCAACGGCACATAGAAATTGCGTTAGATTTGTCTTTCCCTAATTTTTTATTCTTGCTGATCTCCTGGACTTGTCCTTTCTTCAACACTTCCAGCAAATGTCACTCTTGGACCCTAAAGGCAGAGTTTAGGAATCAGATCAATCCATTTGATGAATTTATTTGTGAAAGATATCAGTTTTATCTCTTATGCCAAAGAAAGAGCTCTTACAGGAATCCTGCAGTGAACGTGTAGATCATTAAACATTTGCTTGCTACGGCTGTTTGCTATCTTTTCTGCCCTTGAGGCTCTCTGACATGCTTGTTTCAACAGTTCCTGATTTAAATATCAAGTAGTAATTATACATGAAACAAATAGCAAGCATATGACAAATGGACAGTCCCAGGAAAATGCATTGGAAGAATGCATGGATATAAAAAGATTCAGTACACAAGTGTTCCAAAAACAATGCTTAAATAATAGAGCAATGAAGAGTCCATTTGTGAAATGCAAACAAACAAAAGATAACCATTACACATATAGTAATGAATATTACCTAATTATTATCGATCACAGCACATTTATCAAATGAAAAAAATATGTGACATCCACAAATTGATCAAGAAGCCAAGCGCCATATAAATGCAAGAACTCAACAGGCTCCTTTATATATCAGATATGCCTCATTATTCATCGGACCAGATCAGAGAGAGAGAATTCAGGTATAATTGTAATCTCAGCTGGATCCACATATAAACAAAGTCCCACATTGGGCATCTAATTCTTTCTTAAAGAGAGAAAAAGTCTGGTTAATTTTATGGAGTAACCCATACTAACTAATCTACAGTGAGCAGTAAAGTAGCAATCACAACATTCTGTTGTATAACAAGCCCATATCACAGAAATAAATTTCTTATAGAGACGACCCTTGCCTCTTGCAAATAAAGTTATCATATCTGTGTATTACTAGTCATGGAATTATCCTAACAAAATATTGCAATGTTAAATCCTTTTTGTTTTCTTAATGATCCAAATTACTTCCATCTCACTGATAATTTAATCTTTCTGTGAAGTCACTCCTGGAAACACAATTATCTCAATTTGGCCATGCTACATTAATGTTTGATGAGAATCATTTCCAGAATCTTGTGAAGGTTACATTAGCTAAGACTGCTCACTCTCTTTTTTGAACAAAAACAAAAGATTGTGCTGCCCATTCATTTCATGATAATGAAATGCTAGTATTTAGAAATTTTCGTAATATTCTTACTCCTACAACATTTCACACAATCCCAACTTTCAGTTGTAACTAAAAGTAAAAGAATATTGCATGATAGTCCTGGGATCAAATTTAATTCATGCTTGACGACATTGGAAGACTGTGCTGGTATTACAAAACATAGGAGATGATGTTACCTGATTGAGTTGAAGAAGCACACAGGTCCTGATGCCTTCATAGGTAGGTATGATAGACTTCTCAACTAGATTTCTAAGCCCTGCCAGCTCCTTCACCAGACCCAAAATTATTTCATCTGCATCTTTCATCTGCTTTCTCGAGAAGTCAAATGCATAATTCGCATGAATTCGAAATGTAACACAATCCAAACACATGCAAATCCCTTTGCAGCTTCTGGTGTGTTTCTTCAGAATCCCCTTTCTAGGAGCAAGGGCATGCCTTTCCAAGGAATGAATGGATCCCAACAGAGATGTCCTTGGAAGAGACTTCCCCCTGACGTCTGACACAGGACCTGTCATGTTGCAGCTGAATTCAGCTTTGCTTGGCAGGAATGGTCGAGCTAGCACATTACCAGCCAATTCTTCCTCTGACAAAGATTCATGAACAGCAGGGGAAGAAATAGATGGATTGCACAGAAGCTTAGATTCAAGAATGGGATCATGAAGACAATCTTCAGATTTAATCTCCTCAACCAGTCCGCTTTGATTGCATAAATTGGACGTTGTCACCTCCAAATCATGAAGATCCCCATTTGAAGAACTCTTGTTGGGGCTCATGTTAATTGGGCTTTCAACAAAACCCAAAGTTTCACATGATTCGACAGTCACAGAACATCTTGAGCTTTCAACCAAATGTTGGTCTACGGACAATTTCCCCTTAGTAGGTAATGAAGTTGTTTCTTCCACAACCTTTTCCACTTTAACTGGGTAATCCTTGCAAGAAACTACTCGTGTGCCACCTATTCCAATAAACTTTATTATATTTCAAGGAAACAACCATACACATTACAAAATTACAAACTGATTGGCAAGAAAAACCATACGACATTACCTGAATCAACTTTTGTGATATTCATAAGATATGGCAGCAGCCTTCTGTAGCTAAAAGAACTTGAATTTCGATATAGCTTTGAGCGAGAACATCGAATCAGTGCCTAAAGAACATCACTGTCAGCTAACTTCTTTTTCTCACTAAAAAAGTTAGATTACATAGATTGAGCAGCCAAATGTAGCCAGATAAAAACCTAATTATGCCAAATTAACATATATGTAAGTGAAAATGGTAAAACTCGAAATTAAGTCCCAAATTTTACTCAAGAAATAAAAGACAATAAATGTAGACAAATGAATACTAGGAAATTGTATCAATCGTGAATACTAAATGTGACTCACCGGGCTGCTCTTGCGAGGATCAGCCAACTCCATCTTTACATCAACAGCGATGACCTCCGGAACACTCAGTACCGTTTGATCCTGGCTCATGTTTTCAACTTCCATGGCATTTTCATCATCAGGTGGTGTGCAGTGGATCAACTCCTCGGATCCATCAGATGGCTTCATGACTTCCTCTAATAATGGTTCCCGAATGGCAGGGGAAGAACAAGATGGACTGGGCATAAGCTTAGATTCAAGAAGGGGATCATGAAGGCAAGTTTCAAACTTAACCTCATCAAATTCCAGTCCTCTTTGGTTGCATAAGTTGGTTGTTGTCACCTCCAAATCATGAAGATCCCCATTTGAAGGACTCTTGTCGGGGCTTATATCAATTGGGCTTGCAACAAAACCAAAAGTTTCACTAATTTCCATAACTACAGAACATTTTGAGCCTCCAACCAAAAGCTGGTCATTGGAAAATTTCCCCTCTGTAGGTACTGAAGTCATTTCTTCAGCAACTTTTCCCACTTTAACTGGATAATCCTTGCAACAAACTACATGTGCACCACCTATTTGAAGAAGCTTTACTAGACTTCCAAGTAAGATTATTACCTATTATAATACTACAAATTGACATGCAAGAAAAAACCATGTGAGACTACCTGAATTATCATTTGCAAGACCAGTAAGATATGGCGGCAGCCCTCTATAGCCAATAGAATTTGGATTTTCGTATAGCTTTGAGTGAGAACAACAAATCGGTGCCTGAAGTACATCACTGTCAGCTAACTCCTTTTTTTCTCACTGAGAATGTTAGTTACGTAGATTTAGCAGTAGAAATGTATCCGAATAATTTCCTAATCATACCAAGTTAGTATATATATGAATCAAAATGACAAACTCGAAATTAAGCCCCAAATTTTAGTTGAGAAATAAGAGATAATAAATGCGGAGAAATGGATACTAGGAAATTGCATCAATCGTGACTGTTAAATGAGACTCACCAGCCTGCTCTTGGGCGGATAAGTCGAGTCCGCCGTTACGTCAGCGACGGCCTCCGGACCACTCGCTGTTGTTAGATCCTGGCTCACGCTCTCAACTTCCATGGCATTTTGGTAAACAGGTGGTTTACAGTGGATCAACTCCACCTCAGGACCACCAGATGGCTCCACGACCTCATCAGCTCCTCCGCCCGCCAGCTCGATCCTCTCTGCCTGTTCCTCCGCAGGATCGATCGATTTCTTCCCACCCTCAACAAACCTAATCGCGTCCCTCTTCACGGGAGAGGCCTCCGGGGAGATGACTCTCTTAACAGCGGCAGCGGAGAGGCGTTCGGATGAGGGCGGTGGGGAGATCGAGTCGAGGCGGGGGCGAGGGCCACGGCTGGGGTCGGGGCGGACGCGGCCGGACCGGTTGCGGTGGACGAAGAGCTCGGATCGGCTTCGGGTGAAGACGCCGGGCGTCGGGGAAGAGCCTCGGGTTTGCCTCTTCGCCATGGCTTCGGCTTCAAGGACTAGAGAGAGAGGAGTCTGGAGGGAGAGGAGGGAGGAAGCGAGAGGAAAAGGTTGGACGGAGGGAAACAAAAAGGCTATGGCGGGAAGCGGAGTCGCGATTGGCTCAATATTTAGTTAGTATGTCATTATGTTTGAGCTAAATGGGCTTTACGTAAGTGTTGATTGGCTATATATAATTGTCATCGCGTTTGTCCTTCAGTTGCTCTTTGAGATAAGGGCTAGTTTACATCGAAGTATAACGTGCGTCTCGGAAACTTAATGGTCGTCATATTCTTGAAAATGGCGGAAGGGTGATTCGTCCGAAATGGATGCAGTAGGTATAAGGATTATTTGCTCCATTGTGGTGCAATCAATCATCACGATATATTAGGAGTTTTGATGCATATGTTATGGGTGAATGTACCAAGATGAATTATCCCATTATGATGTGTTTAATACTTTAAATATTTTTATCTAAAATAGACACATTGCACATAAAAAGATGTCTTACTGGATCGATAATCATCGATTGCTTTAATTGCTTATGTATTGGATGAACGCATCATATATATATATATATATATATATATATATATATATATATATATATATATATATATATATAAGAAAATCATTCATCCAATTGAAAGCTTTTCTAATGTTATGGCACTTAGGACAGGACATTTACATAAGAAGATTGCAATCAACATTATATTTTCCACCTTTCAAAATTTGGAAATATCTTAAATAGTGTTTTACCTTATTTAATTTGATTCATTTCATAGTATTGTATTCAAAGTAAGGGAATGGCTTAGATCCGCTTCCATTTTTGTGTGGATGTGTTAGGTAAGAGATTAAGAAAATTCTAGTTATAGCTTTTTACCTTATTTGGATTAATATATTTCTTTATTTATAATATAAATTAGAAAAATAATTAAAATATGCTTATTTAATTATATGAGCTTGTTGAATCTTGGATTTTGATGATGAAACCAATTAATAGTGTTTATCTGATTTGCATTTTTAGTGACGTAGGAAGCTTCGATCAGGGAGAGACAAATAAGGTAGGAAGAATCATGTTCGGTCGGAATGGAACATGTTAGAAGATTGGACGTCGAGCTGAAGGATCGATCGAAGTATCGATAAAAGACCTCGAGCCATGGGATCGGGCTAAGCGGAAATTGTGCCAAGGAAATCGGAATTGTGGAGGTCAACTGACCGATTGGACAATAGGCCGCAAGAAAGGATAATGCGTTGAAGAATCGGACGAGGCGTCGATGAACCAATGACATGCTGGACAACATTTGATTTATCTTTATAATAATTAATAAGATCGAAGTAGGTTTTAGGCGTAAATGGGTTAGAATTGGGCCAACTCAATTAGGGGCCAATTTGGCCCAAGTTTGGGTTGTGTTGAGCCAAGTGAAAGGCCCAAACAGCAATCCAACATATGGAACCATTAATGGCACAATCTCCGAGACTGTGTCAAGCGGTGGTATCGCCCATACTCAATCTCCGAGACTATCAGGCGATGGTACCGCTCAGACACAATTTCCCAAGTGGTGGCACCGTCAGACTGGGAGATGGTACCGCTTAATGTCAATGCAGCACTGGCGGTGGTACCGCTCAGCACTAGCGATGGTACTGCCAGTACCCGAAAGACCTAGGATGAGACTAGTTTTGACTCTAAGTTTGAACCCATTTGGAGCCTATAAATACCCCTCTTATCCCTGGTTAACATAGATAAGCACAAAGAGCTTAAAAGTGGGAAAACGCTGTAACAATCACTTGAGAGATCTCCTTCTCTAGCTCTAAGTTTAGAATTCTATTTAGGGAGGAGTGAGTGCTTGTAAAGGTTCTCTCCTAAACTTGTCAAAAGGAGAATCGAGTGTAAAATGGTAGTTGATTTTCGTCCGTTGAAAGGAGATCGATAGTAGAAGCCAATGGCCTCGACGGAAGAGGAATCGAGAGTGGATATAGGTCACAATGACCGAACCGCTATAAAAATCTAGTTTGCATTTACTTCTTACTATTTACCTTTATTACAAACTGAATTCTTACTTATACTACTCTTTCGTACGCTTTCAAAGTTAAGCATTTCTGATATCAATTTTCATCAAACGAAAAGAATTTTTGAACCAACGTCCATTTTATCTGTTGCATTAATTCACCCCCACCCCCCCCCCCCCCCTCTTAATGTCATTCTTGATCCTAACGGTTGGTATCAGAGCCATGTTTTTCTCATTTGGTTTAACACCCAAGAGAAATAGCTCTTTTCAGCTTTCAAGAGGGTCACTCTATCATTCGTCCTCCTATGTTCAATGGGACGGACTACACTTATTGGAAAACTTAGATGAGAGTTTTCTTGCTTTTGTTGAATCTCGATTTATGGAATATTATCGAAAATAGATTTCAAAAGTCTTCTCTTCCAATGAACGATTGAAATAATTTCGAAAAGAAGACTTTCTCTTTGAACGCCAAAGTTATAAATGCTTTATTTTGTGCTTCGGATAAAACTGAATTTAATCGAGTTTCTATTTACGAAATAATTTTTAATATTTGGCATACACTTAAAATCACACACGAAAGCACTAGTACAGTTAAATATTCAAAAATCAATTTTTTATGCATGAATTTGAATTATTTCAGATGGAACCAAGTGAGTATTAGGATCACGAGCAGCACTAGGGGGGG